GACCTTTCACATTGAGTAGCATTGTAAAGTACGATAAGAGTGGAAACAAAGAAGGGTGTTAATGGCATAGAAGTCAAAATATAGACCAAGCCCTGACAGCATCCTTTTATGTATTCATTTTACTTTATTGGCTAAAGGAGCAATTTCCTTTTAGCTTAATTTAAAACAGACTTTCTCCCCAGCCCCCCTTCTTCCCCCCCCCCCCCCCCGTGAAAATTCTTCATTGAAGTTTTTGAGTAATTGCTGATGTAGGAGTCTGACAGGAATAAAATGAATGGCAGCACACCATTTGTAACTCCTGACTTGTTTGTTTTTTAATGCAGACTGTAATAAATGAGAACATAGATTTCTTTCTCCTGGTAACCACTTATAGTTCCAGAGAGACTAATTCACTCCCTAAATCCAGAATTGGAAGGTGAAAACATCTTTGGTATTTTAAAGTCGAAACACATTTGTCAGATATTTAGAAAATACAAGGGAAATGGGCATTTCAAGGATCTTCCATAAATTTTGGGTTGGGTTTTCAAGGTTCCCTTTTTTTTATACTACATAGAGCAAAATAGTAAAATAACTAGCAAAATAGTAAAATAACTTTATTTAAGTAGCGTAATTCCTGTCTTACAATGGTACAAGAAAAAACAAACAAACACCCCCCCCCCCCCCCAAAAAGAAAAACGTGATGCATTTTTTTTTTTTTCCCCTGGCAGGAAAACAGGAAGGGACCTTACAAGTCAGCTGGAGTTGATGTCCAAAGGTTACATACAGATCTATATGTTTGCAGTGTATATCAGTATGACAGGATTTATGTGGTCTGTCAGACTTCCTATGAATAATGCTTGCTATGAGCAATGTCACAGTAAATGACATACAATGGTTTTTGAAATAAATGATATCAGTACTTTCAGGATTTGCTTGAATTTCTTCATTGTCACTGGCATTTTGTAGGATCACACATCCCTCTCTCCTTCTGGAAGTCAAGTATAATTTTTTGCAAATGTATAAAAATTTCATCTTCCAAATGCACTGTGCATATTTTGCTGTTATTCTCATTCAGTCTTTTCTTTTGCCCCCTACCTGAAGAAGCACATGCAAGTGAAAACTAGCTGGTAAAAACTGATGTTTTTAAAACTTCATGTGTATTCATTTAGAATTAGCAATTACTGTGTAAGTATTCTCATTGCTATTATAAGCAAGACTATGTAGAGGCCATAATCCAACTATCACATTAAAGACCTCCCTCATATATAAAAATTTAAAAACCACCAATAGCAGGAATTTTTAGCATTATTATTCTGGCTATGAAATCTGTAAATCATGTCCATATGCTTAAAAAGCAAGTCATGCTGAACACGGTAATGAAAGCCATTTCAAACTTCAAAGAGCCCATTTCTCTGCTCAATAACCTTGCCTCTGATAGGGTCATTTAGTCATAGGTTAAGAGCTAATGACATCAGTCAAAAAACAGATCCACTATGAATTTTATATACCTCATTTAAATCTTCTGAATTGTTATAGTAAATATTATTAAATTCTGATATGTCAGTATGAAAGATAACATAAAGCATTTCTATTTTAAAGTTTGTTAAATATTTTTAAATGGATAAAAAAATCTAGAATTTTAAAATAACATTATGGTTTTTTTTAAATCCTCATCTAATTTGAATTTCTGCTCATGTTTCCATTTCCACTCAGAGTCTTCTGTTAGCCCTCATTTTCCATGTAAAGGATTTATGGCTATGCCACAGTGTTAGCGATATCTGGATCATCTTGGGGCTGCGGCAGTGAAGACCACCAAGCAGCACTGGCATTCACAGTGCTGTGCTTAAACTTTTGATCTTTTCCACATAGTATTTCAGTGAAATGTTACAAATATGCAGTATATACTCTAGCTTTGGTCATCTTCTAATCTTATAGGAGAGTAGGATGAAAAAGAGAAGCATGCTGAAATACAGAGGCTGCTACAGGGCCAAAGGAGCAGAAGACCTTCTAGGATCTTCTAGGATGGGGATTTATTGTAAAAGAAGGAAGCTGTAAGATGCCTGTCCTGCAAACACAGGAGTGCACAAATACAGCTCAAAAAGTAGGTGGGTCAAGTTTTCCCTTCCAAATATGTTTCCCTATCCTTTCTTCAAGAGGAGCCAACAGAACAGGAGGGGGAGAATGGCCAGTGCTCATACTAAAGAAATTAGTTTACATGGCTAGTGAAAAATATTTTCATGTTCCTATGCAGATTAAGTAGGAATCTGGTCAATTCAGAGCATTAAGGTGTCTCTGCATTCCTGCCCAGAGCAGTGCTGTGCCTCAGGTGAAGTTAGAAGGGATGCATCCCTCATGCTGAGTTTAAGGGGAAGGCTACAGGACTGCAGCACTGTCCTGGTGTGTATGGCATCCTTGAGTACAGGATGCCAGCATGAGCAAGAGTTTCCCCTTCCCATACCAGCCTTGGCACGGGGTGAGTGATCACCTTCACGTCATTTTGTGACCTGGTAGTCTGGAGGTAGCTGGGTGACAGATTAGTAGGTTAACAGAGAGAGTAGTTGTGTGAGGTCCTGTGCTACACCAGGAGGGAAGGAGCTGAGGGTAAAGTTGTGTGTGCATATTCACACGTGTCCCAAGAGTGTTACCCTGCAGAGGCCTGAGTGTGCATTTCAGCTTCATGTACTGGAGTTGACAATGCTATTTAAAGCATGAAAAAGTACATTCATAAGGTTTCTGGAAATCAGGGCTAACAATCTCTAAGGAGCAATGAAGTTATAAATTAGATAAATATTCAAGTGTTCTGGCTGCTTAGGTCACTCTTGTTAGTGAATGCCACCACAAGCACTTTCCTTTTCTACCTTTGCAGTAAGCCTAAGACCTCTTCTGAATCCACAAGCTGTATGGCACACTGCTGCTGCAAAATTGAAATGCCTCACTGGTAAAAGACACTGTAGGGGATTAAATGTAGAAATAACACTGGATTTTATGTGGACCTTCAGGTGTGTTTTTGAAGATCAGACATTTTCCTTTGAGCATGTTTTTACCATAAATATTTACATAAACATTTAACAAAGTGATCTGCAAGAGTTAAGCACAAAATGTTGCTATGCATAGCAAGATCTCACTCTTTCCCTTTGAGATCTTCAGTCCCAAGTTAGATCTCCAGGCACAGGTCTGTTTTTCAGTGGTCTAGGCATGAAAACCTCAAAGCAGGGTTCACGGTGGTGGACAGTGATGGTACCTTTCTATCCTGAGTATCCTAATGGCTACAGCACTCTTCTGGATGTAAGGTGGCTCATGTTCAAATCCCTCTGTGCCTCAGTGATAAAGGTTTTTGAACATGGTTTTCGAACATGGTTTTCAGCCTTTCAGTAACTGCTTTATCTAAAAGTCTTCTGGACTTGAAGCAGACTTATTTGTCTCTCGAGTTGGAGCCGTTCTGTTTTATGAAAGAAGTTAATATTAAGTAGTCAGGACAGAAAAGTGAGGAAGCCTCCACAGATCAATGCTGATGAAACTCAGGCATAATTAATGCAGCGTTACAGTTGCTGAACTTCAATTTAATAAAAGCTTAGAAATGCGAAAGCTTAAGCTCTTTCCACAGAATTTAGCTGTGCAAATACTGTTGTATAGTTTCATGTATATTTTTACTCCATATGCCTCTGGTGCCACCAGTTAAGTGGTTTACCTCTGCAGCTCCCTTACTTTCTGAGGAATATCCTAATGGTGTAGCCTATTGGCAATCCAACCACAAAACTGGGGTACCCCCCAGCTGAGCTGGGTGAAAAGTGATGGGCAGTTCGTTCCTTTTATGCACCCTTACATAGCTCAGGGACTTCAGCCACCATGTACATGTGTCAGAGTTTAGAGCCTCTCAGGTGAGTGACGGAAATGTGAGGGTGTGCTGCTACCAAGGTGATTCACCTGGGTTTGTACTAGGGTCACATTCCCCTTGTCCATGCAAAGCGCATGCTAGTTGCATGTGGCCTTTCCTTTGGAGGAAACCCCTCAGCAGGCCAGCCCGGTGAGGACCAGAAGGTGAATTTGCTGCAGGGGCTCCACCTAGCATGCTCACAGGGCCGACTGTGTTGCTTGGCCAGAGGAACCCAGGCCAGTTCCCAGCACAGATTACAAAAGCATCCTGCCAGTGTGTTTGCACAGACCTAGATTACAAACGGCTTAGGAAGCTCACAGAGCACTCATACAGGGTCAAATCCTAAATGGCTTACTCTAACAAAAGACGCACTAAATTGTTTGGTGCTTTGTCCAAAATTCAATCAGTTTTACAGGACTGGGTCTGATATTATTTTAAATCAATATATTTTTTTCCCTATAGATATATAAAGAAGAAATCTCAGGTGTGCATCAAAACCCCATTTTCTGTTCCCTGTGTTGTGTCAAGCTCTCCATCTCTGCAGTGGTTGTCTCATTTGCTCTATTCCCTCCATTCACAATGCAGTGTAGAACTGAGAATTCAGCAAAGTGGAAAAATTGTTCAGTAATCAAGACCATCACTTCCAGTTCAGGATTACTGCTGACAATATTTTCTCTGGGCTGGCTCAGTCCTGACTTCAGTGGTTCAGAAAATAATTCTGTCCTTGTATTTGATTTCGGTAAAACACTGTTACTCAAACCTCATACCGGTGAAAGGAATCTCAGTGCAAAAGAGAGATTTTCATAGCATGGTAAGCTAAAAGCAAAACCATCTTTTAGTGAAACATGCCTTTCTAAAAAACACTGTAGAGTTAGTACTAGTGTGGCTGTTACCCCCTTAGGGAGATTAACACATTACAGCAGAAACGAATAAATAAATCACACATGGCTGTCAAACAGACGTGGGAAAAATGACTCTTTTTTACTGAAATGATTTGATCAAGTGGCCTTGTTTTGACCTGGTTTTGGGCAAAATCCAGTCCCACTGGGACAAACATAAGAAGGCTGTACTTGAGATGGCCTTGGGGTTTTGCTTGTTTTCTTTTTGTTGGGCAGAGTTTTAAAGTAACAGAGGAAGATCAAAACCATTTGAATAACTGATGTATTTATTTTCTTATATACACTTAAATATGGCACATCTGACAGTAGTTGTACAATAAACTCAAAATGATAATCAAAGCTGGACAGTAGATCAAATAAGTCAGTGCTGAACCTACTAGAAGCCAAATCCTGTACACTGAATTTCTGAAGAAAGTTTCACCCAGGACCTGCATTAGCTAAGGATTCAGAGGCTAAGATTATCTAGTCATAATCTCTGAAAGAATGGCTGGTGACCGTTGACTCTTTACCAACATACCAGCTTCATCTTGTATCGCGTAACAGTGAACAAGCGCTTTCCACTCTTTGACACAGCCAGTACTTCACTGATTGTTGCTACCTCTTAGAGAACAATTGCCGATGTTCTCTTGGAAGGAGAGATTCACCTGCAGTTAGTGATTACTCTAATAAATAAATGCAGACTGGATTCTTTCTTCTGCTATTAACGTGGAAGATGTTTACTATAGTTTGAAAGTCAGTGACAGCTACTTTGCAAAGCAGTGGATTTTCAGAGAATAGGAGGAGCTCAGTCAAGGAGTTTCTCTGCTTTGGGACCCATGAGAACCTCTCTTCTCCTTTGGACAACGACAATGCCTGGAACACACTGGTTTTGCAGTTGGGCATGTTCTGGGTTGGGATGGACATCTGTCCTCACAGCTGTTTGATAAAAGAGAAAAAAGCAAAAAGAGAGAACATTGTAATATGAAAATACTTCACTATCGCATTCCTCAACTTTTTAATCTTTGAACATTGCAGTGCTGTCTAGACAACATTTGGGAAAGCGTCAACACCCTTACAACACAGGGAGGTAAGACCTTGCTGCCTGACAGTTTTTGTCTACAGCAATATGTCTTGCTGTTGTCCATTTTTTCCACATCTATGACATAAGCAATTCTTTCATTTCTTGAGAGCAGTGAAGTCCAGAGTGTTAGTAGTGGATAGTGCTCCCCTCAAATTCTTTGAAGGACCTTAACTCACCTGGCGCTTCAGCTTTGGTTCTCCAGAAATAGTGGTCATAAAAGTCCTCTGTGCAGATGGCAGTAATTTCTAGAAGCCAAACTTATGGCCTCTAGAAGCAACAAGTGATTCCATCGATCCCCTCCCACCTGCCTGAAACACAGAAGTGACTAAGTCTCCTATTCTCACTTTGAGCTCTGCTGATTCTTTTAGCTACTTTTATACTTGTTGCCAACTATTTTATGCTTGTCCTTATTTTCAAAGCTGAACCTAAAGATGCAAAGGTTACTTCTTCCACACCTTCTTCTCCAGAAATGAACCTCTGAAGTTAATGAGAATGGACCTTGTAGGTGACCAGGTACTCGGAGAAACTGCATGCTGACTATCCTTACATAAACTTTCAGACCAAGCTACCGCATGCACCGGGCTCTCTACATGGGACCAAGGCTTTCTGAGAAATTTTAAAAATAAACTAATGCATCCTGGCTTGTATCAGAACTAGCATGACCAGCAGGACTAAGAAAGTGATTGTCCCCCTGTATTCAGCACTGGTGAGGCTGCACCTTCAGTACTGAGCCCCTCACTACAAGAAAGATATTGAGGTGCTGGAGTGGCTCCAGAGAAGCCGGTGAATGGTCTGGAGAGCAAGTTTTATGAGGAGCAGCTGAGGGAACTGGAATTGTTTAGTCTGGAGAAGGCTCAAGGGAAACATTGTTGCTCTCTACTACCTCTCTACTACCTTTCAGGAGGTTGTAGTGAGATGGAGGTCAGATTCTTCTCCCAAGTAACAAGTGCTAGGACAAGAGGTAATGGCGTCAACTTGTGCCAGGGGAGGTTTAGATTGGATATTAGGAAAAATTTCTTCACCGAGAGGGTGATCAGGCATTGGAAGAGGCTACCCATCCCTCCAAGTGTTCATAAAATGTGTAGATGAGGCCTTTAGTGACGTGGCTTAGTGGTGGTCTTGGCAGTTCTAGGGTAACGGTTGGACTTGATGATCTTAAAGGTCTTTTCCAACTTAGTTGATTCTATGATTCTATGAAAACAGGTTTTCTAAGAGGGCATTTTCTACTGAAGTTTTGTCAAAGAAACCTCAAAATTAGTTACACAAAAGGGTTAGGGAAAGGCACGTAGTATAACATCTCCAGAACTATTTTCCTGCTTCTCAGTGGAATCACGGCTGGTTGAGCAGGTTTGTATGTATACAAAATTGCATTAGCTCTAGACAATCACTTGCCCTGAAGACAAAACAAATAAGGAATGTATAGTGTGGGTACCAACTTGGGAAACCTTTGTCCCTAGATGTCCATGTGACTGAATTCAGCAGTCGCAGAGAACATGGGGTGGGTTCTACCTACCAACAGATGCAAGACTCAGTATCTCACTGTAAATCCTCTGTGTCACACACTAATTTCAGTTACAGCACAGTTGCACATCATTCCCTTAAGACTAGGGGAAAAAATAATAAATACTGGTAGTTGAATAGCATCCTTGTCTAGATTTCTTTAAAACATGTTAATTAAGTAAACCTTAGACTACTTCTATAAGGTAAATACTGTAAATATCATCTCTGTTATTATCTCCCTAACTGCAGGAAGGTATTTTACTCTGGGTGGAGCTCTTAGCTAGTTCAGCACTTGCACTTTCAGTGTCTATACAAGATAATTCAGATCTTGGAGTGTAGATACTGAATGCCAAGGAACACTTACCTGCAGGTTTCAGCATGAAATGTCTTGTGTTTTAGAGCGCAGCTCTCCTGGCTCTCCTTACACAAATAGCAGCTGCAGTTCTCTTTACTTTGAAAAAAATCTGTGGGACACTTCTGTCTACAGATACATTCACAATTTTCTTCATCAAATTCCATATGTTGCCCACACATAGCCAGCTCAGCAAGAGGAGGGAGTCCTGCAATAGCACATACCTCATTAGTGGTAAGCTTTACTTGTCTAAATCCTGCTTTTGAAGATACTCTCTTTGTAATCACTAGGACTCACAGGTGTACTATCTGACACATTCTAGTCTTCAGAATTTCTGTTGAGCTTACTGTGCAAAAAAGGCCTTGAGAGGATTGGACTGATTATTTCACTTACTCTAATATCGCAATTTATTGTGGGTTGAATCCTGCAAAAAAGAAATTTGGGGCTGTATATTAAAAGAGTCTAATGTTAGGTTTTGGAATGCACAAATCTTTACTGGACAGCAGGTTTTAAAAAGAAAATCTCAAAAAGGATTTAGTCTATGCCCCAGATGAAAATGTACATCCATGCAAACTGTCACACTCACCATGCAATATACTTCACTATTCATATACTGAGGAAATTTTGCAAAAGTAATGCTGTATCTAGTAAGGTGCAAGCTGGTCTAGCACTTCAGTAAGGAGCATATACACACTTCTCAGTGGAATATGGAAGAAAATACTTTGGTTCAGAAACAAAACCCCAGTCGAGTGATCACACTGTCTAATACCTCATTTATCTGCCCTCAAAATACACATCTGGAGTACAATAAGAACCTGATCCTTGCAAAAAGGGACCACAATTTATGAAAGCCTTATTAAAATGCTAGCAGCACATCCCCAGTTAAAGGTCAAGGCATATAATGTGTCACTGGGAAGGTAATTTCCTGCAGTTTTACAATTAACTTTTAGATTTAACCTATGGAATGTGGAATGTAGCCTGTGTCTGTGACCTCTGCAGCCTGAGCTCTGATCTCAGTGGCCAGAAGAGGCTTTCACATTACTTGAAAGAAACCTTCATTATTATTTACTTAATGCTGGAAAACCAATATCCAGACAGAATAAAACCCGTGTCCTATTGGAAGGGAGGAAGGAATCTGCCCAAAATTCTTGGAAGACAAACCCCTTCCTTGGGGTGATGAAGTCTGGCATGTGTGAAGTGGTATAGAGTGTTTTGGTCTCGCTTTGTTTCAACATCAAAGACAGATTTTAAATTATTTTGTCTCAGTCACTGCCAAACACAATGTACTTTAGAGAATGATATTTAATCTGGGGAAATATTGAGTCTGTGTCAACAAAAGCTATAATTCAACAAGCCACAAATTTTAAAGCTCCAAGCTGACCTTACAAAAGGCTAAGAGTTAAGAGGACTTGGGCTATTCACAGTCCTTTGGACTTACTCTGAAATATAAAGTACTAATCCTCTCTTGAGTGAAAAGTCTAACTTGAGTTTAACTACCTAACCTGATGTTCAGATGATCTAATCCAGAGTGAGAACAGATCCTCCAGAAACCAGTATGAAACTGATCTCTTGCTTATTAAAATTAGAGATCATAATCAACCGACCACTTTATAAAGTTAGTTACTTTTATTTTAGTTTGCTAGTCGAGGAATTGCTTGCCAGCTTGCATTTACTGTTGCCTTGGATGGTTTATTCTTTTGCTTGCAGCATGTAAGTTAAACTGCAAAGGCAAGGCTTCCTTTTGTGTCTGCTCTACTGCTGTGTTAATTTTATTTTGACCAGTACAATTTCCTGAGAAAAACAATTTTTTAAAGACCTTTTACAGGGCTCTGAGAATTTTTATCTACTCTTGATGTTTACTGCTAGTATCTTTAGACTTACACAGTTACCCCCCATAATATTTCCTACAAACTTCTTCAACAGATTACAGTTTTCCAGGAAAAGCAGAGGGATAAGGGAAGTCGTCTATACGTCTACGAATTTTACCCTTTTACATTTCCTTCTGCAGACCCGAAGGGTTATACATGCATACTTCTGAGTACGTATGGCATATCATCTTGAAAGCTTCCTACATAACATTATTATTATAAAAACAAGTCAAATACTTTGAAAGGTCATATAATCTTTTGCACCGACTACAGCTAACAGGCAGGACTTATTTTGCCTATCTTATGCCTGGTTAAGTTTTATCTTAAGAATTTCCCACAATAAAAAATTAGCACCTTCTCCATGCAATATATTCCAGAACGATTCTTTTCAACAGTTCAAAAGTTTTCCCTAATTCACATCATACAATTTAAGGCCCATGTAAAATAAAAAATTATCCAGGTTATCTACTTCAGTCTTTTTAATACTTTTCTATTTCTTGTTCAGATTGCTTATACAGAGAGAATAAAACATCCAAGCAAAAAAGCAGGAGATGGGGATAAGCAAATACAAGTGTTTATTTTCAGATGCGTTTCTACACTTTAAACCAAGTCTGTCTAGGGATGTGGAATCAAAACTTAACTCTCTCAATTAAAAAATAGGACAAAAACGTAATGAAACCAAACCAGCATGAAGATAGTAAAGCATAAGTGTCCATCTGTAATTTCATCTTTACCTTCTCTTCTGTTGGGGTGCTGTACATCTACAACACATTCACATTTGTCACTGTCCCAGATCCATCCATTATGACAAAGTTTGTTGGTAAAGGGGCATCTAGAAGAAAAGGAAAAACAAAACAAAACAAAAAAACCCAGAATCCATAGGAATTAAAAAAAAAATAAAATAAAATATAGGAGCATCAGTGTAGTCATTTGGCAAAATGAGCCTGCAGGTACGCTGGGTCTGTCACTTGTACTACATGAAGCTATGGCATCTGTGTGCATTACTGCTGCAGAAAGAATACCTTGGGACTGGGTGGTTTTGCTGACAGGGCTGAGCTGTCTGGCTCCCAGCAACTAGAAAGAACAGGTACAGCACATATTTCAGATTACATCCCTAGGAAACAGCTACAGTTTTGCAGCTCCCTTTTTCCATAAAACAGCTCTACCCCAACAAGGGTAGTCTTTGTCTTACACTATTCCTGCCATGTAACTGTATTCAATTTTGCCAAGCTGCCAGAAAGCGCAGCTCCAGTTTATAATTTTCCCATGCTTAAGGATGTACAGTGGACTTTTCCCAGTTTTAGAGGGACCAGTTTGACTTTCAGGCACTTTGCTCTGGAAGAGGAACTCACAAACTGGAAGAAGAAGGCTGAGGTTTATCTGTATTTGTGTAGAAAGAGGACTCTGAGGGGTCAGCAGGCTGATTGAAGGCTCAAGTGGCTTTGCTGAAATGCCATCTCTCCCCTAGCCCAGATGTCTACCTGAAGGGCAGTTGTAGTGGCAAGCCTATATGCAGAGCTAGACAGACATCTGACTTTCAGTGAGTCACTCAAACTATCTGTGTTTTTAGAATCTTTGTTAAATTAACATAGCCTGTTCTCACCAGGACTACAGGTATTTTATATCATATTTTGGATTAGATGTGAGATGACTTTTCTCCAGCCAATGAGCCTGAAAGATGCAAACCAGGACTGGAACAGAAAGTGAAAAGCCACGATTCACACTGACGCTTACCTGACATGCCATAAGGTTTGGCAGAGGGCTTTAGTTTGAGCACAGCACTCAAGCCCACTTGTGCCCTGCCTAAATAATGCACAGAGTTGCTCATGTCAGGTTGAAAAAGTATATGCGCACATATAAATATAATACATATAGTGGAGCACAGTGATAATATGTGCACTTGAGCTCCCAGTCAAGCACCTTAATGTCTTAATGCCTCCAGATGCTGCTGAACTAGCCTGTTATTTGTTGAATTCTTGTGTCCACTCACTTCTAATTCACAAGTTTTAGTTGAAGCTTTCTAAACTGAGAGTGACAAGTTATTTAGAAATACTGTTGGGATAACATGAAGTGAATGGACCATTATAATGACCAAATCAGAACAAAATAATTTTCATACTTTGGGTGCCACAGGATGTGCAGAAATTGTAAATGAGGGAACTTACCCATCTTCTTCTGGGTACTGCACAGATCTTCGTATGATGGCATACTGGTGGTGCTGGGTATTTGATAGACACTTACAGCCTGTGTGATTAGCAATTTTGATTGGTACGGGCTCAGGAACACTTGTCAAGGGAACCGAGATCTCAAAGAGCTAGGTGGGTGAAATAACATTTATTTTTCAGTTTCCCTTATACAGTTAAAATTTGGAGTTTTAATTCAAAACCTCTTATTCTTTGCCACCATTTTTCCCACTGTTGTTCTTTTTCCAGAGGTAGTTACCATAAGCAAGTGGGCACTGAAGGTTTTGTAAAGTAAGCAATGCCCACCAAGAAAGGAAATTGCCAAAATGGTGGTCCCAGTGCTGTATTACCAGTTATTAAACACCCAAGAGCACTCAAAATTATTTGTAAACACAATCAAAAGTTCTTCTGAATGCTCAGGTCAAATGGAAGATACAGGGGCTGGAAACGTTGTCCTCAGTTATATCATCAGTTGAATTTCAGTTGCTTATGGAGACAGCTATTTAACTGTCCTAGGGTATAATCACAGCATGCATGTTTAGTGGCCTAATTTCACCTCTGCGCCTCTGCAGAGAGGTAAGAAACAGGAGTAAATAGAGTTCATTTCACTTCATCCGTGTTCTTGCAGGGAATCACCCTGGAAACATCTCTCTCTTGATTATAGCAGGAGCCTAAGGAACCAAGCAGCCTAACTGCAGTGCCTGCAGATTGCTTAGGCTGATCTCTGTTTAGCCTTGTGAAAGCCCTGGTTCCTTGGGCAGCTACATGTCAGGGTGTTGAAGTGACCCACCCCCTGCCTGTATCTTCCCCAAGCCAGCTTTCTTCCCACAGAAATGAAGGCACTCATAGAGTACGTCTTTGCATGCCAGCATGCCAGCAGCGTTAAGCTGCAGCCACATGTAGGCATTGAAAAGTATTCCTAACACAGACTGCTTGGACATTTGAATTTAGGTGTCACAGTGTCTGACTTCAGGTGACATGAATATCCTTCAGAGTATATTTTATGACAAGGAAAAAAAAGATGCTGTCACTAATATGGGAGTAATTCCATTCATTTTAGAGGAGTAAATCTGGACTGGTGGTGGTGTATCCAAGAGTGGGACTTAGCTGGGGACTTTTGAGGGAACGGTTATTTTGAAGAATGCTGAAGGAATGTTACACTCTGCAAAACTGCAGTTTTTCAACAAACTTATAAACTGCTGCTTCAAAGCCACATAAATAAATAAATACATTTTAGCCTGACCTAGCTCCCTGAACTGACCAGATGTCTTTTGTGTGTGGCCAAGAGTTTGTAACAGCTTTCTCTTTCTGGTGTGGAATGAAAGCAATTAATGAACATTGACGCAAGAAGGACAGGCCCTGATTTATTTTACTCAAGCTATATTACAGTACAACTAGACACAGTGGAATTAGATTCCAACAAACCTGAAACCAATACAGACATGAATTTGACTTGCTGCCCATGAGGGCTTCAATTTTCTTTTTAAATCAACTGCCCTCCATCTTCATTCTGATTTAAAGAAAAGCCTTTTTCATAAATAAAATTTAATGTTTTACTCTAAGTCAAAAGGTTTTATCAACTATAAGTAGGGATGCACAAAATGAAGATTAGTCAAGGAGGACCAGTCTCTTGTACTGTTTCTGCAAGTGTGAACACAGCTGGTTTCATCTGTAGTGCTGATTGAAAGTACTAAACTTGGAGCTCTGCTCAGTCACCTACTGGAGAAAAGATATCCCTGTACATAGACACTACAGGGAGTCTACAGAAAGAAACTTTCTGGCTATTCTCTTTATGCTCACTTTTTGGCATTGGCCATTAAAACTCAGGTTTGTCACCTGTTATACCTAAGCAGTAATTGACTACTGTTTTAAGCCTTTCATTTCCGAAGTGACTTGTCATTTGGCACATTCAGATCATGAGGTATTCAAATTGAGAGCATCTGGTCTCTCCTGCTGAAAATGTCTCCTTTTTAGGCTGGTAAAAATGTACATCCAAAATTATTAGCCAGCCTTTTTGGCACTGATGGTAATTTTGAAAATGCAGCACTTAGACTCCTGTCTCACACAGCAAAATTTTCCAGAGCTCTCTTAACCCTTTGGTGCAGAGTATTCCCATGAGCTAATATGCTCCAGAGGTCCCAGGTCCAAGTGACAATACACTAAAGAAGAATTAAACTTCTTCACATCACGTGAGCCTGCAGTCACTTTCTCAGGGCCTGATTTTCCATCTCTACACATATATACCTATTTTTTAACATTGCAACATGAATGTAAAATTGCCATTGCACATGCCTGCATTCACTCCCCATGGATAAAAAATTAATTCTACTATTTGTTAGAATAGTGTAGACAGATCTTTCATAACAGGATCTCTGAAACCAAACATCCTCCTTCCCCTCCCTTTTTGGATGGCCAGTGTAAAAAGAAACAGATGAATAGCTTCATTTACCGTTTTCGACACGTAAGTTGTACTTGTATTCATGCAGCTCAGACTCTCCTCATTGCAGCAGCCCCCGCATCTGAACACGTTCACACAAGGAGGCTTGAAAAATTTGTTGGTCGTTGTACCCAGCTCTTTGGCAACTTCCACACAGGTTTCCCTTGGCACACACTGAGTCTTTTGCCATTCCTCATCTATGACTGGAGAAAACACCATTTTTATGAGCAATCATGGCAAAGTTAAACCTCTGATTAGTGAGGCAGAAGCATTATATAAATAAAAATTAAGTGCTGGCAGGCCGTTTGCACTTACTTGGATCGATTTGCACTTATTTGAATCAATCTAAGGACTGGAGAGAGTCTGAGTGCAAAATTATCCCAGTAACTTACACCAGCTGCACTGGCAGAGAGGTTTTTGCATGTATCCACTTTTAGGTTTCAATGCAGATGACCAAAATCTCCATTAACTCTAGTGGTTTAAATAGAGCTGCATTGATTTCCCCTGGCTGAGGGTCAGCTCCACGGTAACTGACAAAGCTGGCCACCACCCTGTTCTCCTTTTCTCCAGGGTAGACCTCTTTATTGTCATTTTATCCTCTCTTTGTGTGTACCCCACCACAGACTCAGCAGAGCCTGGGCCTGACTGCGAGATCACGTTAATGATTAACAGATTCTGGTCAGAGGGTATTAATACTCCTACTGGATGTCAGCCAGCGAACACTGTTTCCAAAACGTCTAATGAAATCCAAGACAAACACTCTCGCACCTCAGTACCATCAGGGGGCTCAAGTCTGAACAACGGGAATATGAATTCAAGCATGATTTATCTATTCAAAACACTGTGGCATCTTTCAAATACTGAGTTGTTGTAGCCTAGTAATTTATTTTAGATTGATCTGTCAAATTCTGACTGTGAGAAGGAAAAATGCATTAACTGACTGAACCCCAGAGGGAGAAAACAGTGACATTTACATAATATTATCTCGAGTCTTGTTAAGAGGTGGCCCTGTTTTTTTTGACTTTTGCTTACCTGTTATGGCATTACTTAAAAGTCACCAGTGCTTATTCTTTAGTCCCTCTTAAAATCACAAAAAACATTTTTCCCGTCTGTCCCCCCCTCCATCAGGCTTCTGAAAGATCAAAAGCAACTTCTATACTATCAAGACAATTGCTCTCCCATTGCAGCCCACCACCCTACTATTGTGCAAGCAGTGGATACATTTACAGGGAAGTTCTGAAAAAGAAAATGTAAAAATTCTGGAGCACTTTTAATCTACATGCTATACATTTTCTTCAGAAGAGCATTATTTCTATCTTTCCTACATGACTTTCCTTTTATTTTTAACTTTTTCTTCAACTAACTATGCATATTTAAACCAGTTTGTTTGTTCCTGCAAAGTCCTTCCTGAAAGCTGATTCACTACACTTTCCAGTCGTACAAAACCCACAAGAAATAAGAGCTTGGGGTCTGAATTATGATTTTACAATAAATTAAGAGAAGACTCACTAAAATCAGTAGAAATTTATGTAATGTTTTAGGTAATATTAGTCTATCAAAACAGCAATCTAATACTAGGACTTAAAATAGAAAATAAACTGTTTGGCAGACTCATTAAGGTATGTGCATGCAATCACTTCAGATGTCACTTCAATGAGTATAAGCAGTGATGACCTTTCCAACTGCACACATCCTGAGTTTATTAACCATTTCTTTAGCAGAAGGGCTGTTATAGGAAGGGGCGGTCAGAAAGAGGTGGGTGTCACATTTTGTTCAACCTAATATTTTTGGTGTGCAAGCACAGGGCAGCTGCTGAGATATTTGGCTTCGGTAGAGAGTCCAGCTTGAGAGCACTGAAGTCCTAGGTGAGCTGAGCTACTCAGGGAGGCTGTGGTTAGACAGTGACATCAAATTTCCATGTATTTATCTTTAAAGCTCTAGAAAAGAGGAAGAGAAACTCTTGAATTTGCCCTGCAGGAGTTTGGGGTGCTGTGGAAGATGATCTAGCAGTGAAGCAATGAGCAGCCTTGACCCAGCCTTCTTGTCAAAACACTTTACTAAAAGAAAACAGATGCCCTTGGCAAAAAGGTCATTGCTTAATGACTGGAAAGGGTGTGGAGGGAAAAAAAATAGGTTTATAAGCTTGTTTTTTAAAAGGAGCTTTAGTACCCTGAACATATTAGAATATTAGAACAGAGGTAGTTTCTGTTCTGGGGTAATTCCACTTTGGATGGCATAATGGAGAAGATGACCTGTTGGGCTTTTTTTAACCTAACTTTCAGTGCCTTGACAAAGCTAACGTCTCTGTGTCTAGAGTTAGACTTCTAAAGGGAAAGTAGGAAGTGACTTAATGGCTGTTCCAAGCAGAAAATTACATCTATATGACAACAGTCACATGACTTTATTACCCAAACAGTTAAATTATTCTGTCACTGAAAAAAAAACCCACCAATGCAATATGCAGTTCCTCAGTAACATTTGATAACATCCTCTGTTGTCTTGTTGTTTTGACAATAGGAATATTTTGAATTTTCAGAAATGCTAGTGCTCACTAAATGAGCAGTGGTGGATAGAGAATTACAGGACTTGACACTGGATAATACTTCTAATAAATAAATTGTTAATGTTGCTGTGTAGACTTGTACAGCTATGTAAACAAAATGTTTCTCATTAATTAACGCCCTTTTTATTGTTATTCCAATGTGTATTTGATTTAGTTTTTTTCTGTACAAAATTTTTACAAGAAGTTTAAAACCCTTTTCAGACTAGCACTCATAGCCGCATTTCTGTGCTGTGGCTCAGAGAAGCAAATTAAGGCCTTTGCTGGGCCATAATTTAGCTGAGTAATGGTGTGCAAATATGGGTGTGGTTATTGTGAAAGTGTTATTGGAACAAGATCAGCAATATCTGGTTTCCCCAAAGGAAATTGATATGATTGTATCACTTCAGTGTAACCACTGAACAAAAAAATGACTAGCTTGGTCTATCCTTCATTAGTCTAAAGGGTAGATTTGCTGTAGGATATCCATTTGCTAGACCAAAGTGTAGTAACTGAGCCTTTATGTCTATTAATATATAATGCATCTTGAATCTTTCACCTAGAAGGAACAATATTAATTTTTGCAGCAGATGAGGGAATAGATTGTGATTGCCTGCATTCAGGTGTTGGTTTATTGTTTCAAGATTGACTTATATCTGGACATACTTCCTCAAATAGATTGATATTAGGGCAACACCTTCTTACTTTGCAATTCTGCTGCTGATGCAGTGCCTCATATCAGAGCACACCTAATAAGAAAAGGAATTTCTATGCCAGTGGTAAAGCTTGTGTTTCTGCCTGCAAGCAAATTCTGAGGCTTAGGACAATGCTGCTGGCTGGTCCCTCAGTCAGCCATTCCAACCTGCCCTTTGCACATTGACTTGCCCTTCATTCTTTGAGCTGACAAACCTATACATAATACATCTTCTCTTTGGAGAGTATACAGAGAAAAATAAGCCTGATTTGGACACAAAACAGGGAGGCATACTCAGGCTGCTGCTTTACATTTCTTTTCATACAAATTCATTTTCCATGAATGCTCTGTTGTTCCCAGTACGGGTGTATTCTAGGAAACCCTGGTACTTAACACTTTACTGCACAAGAATCAGTGGTCCGGAAGCCAAGATCAGACTCAGCTGCAAACCTGCACCTACCTTTCAGTGTATCAATATCATAGAAAGCAGCAGCAAATCTGGTAGAACGATGTGATGCAGAGCGGGAGTCTAAATTGGCCAGACTCTTAAGTTTTAGCCTGCATTTCCACAGCTTCCAGTCCTCAGAGTGAGTGATGCGAAGCAGCTCTTCCAGGCTGGATGCTCTCCTGATCTGCTGTTCTGACCGCTCCAGTGCTGACAAAGATGTCCTCTGGAAGGGAAGGGATAAGTTAGGAAGCCAGTACCTTTACAGCCTTCCACCAGTGGAGCACATGGAGCACTTGCAGAAAAAGGCAGCATATTTCTGAGAGCAGCCGAGAGTACTTAGGAAAACAGTAGCACACAGAGATGTCCCAGGGTTTGATAGTGCCCAGCACCACACTGATCTGCAGGATTTGTGTCCATGTAAAGTGTGAAGGAGGGATATCCACCTTTCCCATCACAGCCCTCAGAGCTATTTGACAAATGCAGGGTTTGCTGTTCCCTGGTCCCCAGGGAACCTGGCAGACATCAATGGCAATGCTGCTGATGATCAGCCTCAGCTGCCTGGCCATGCGAGCGTGAATCCCAAATCACCCATACAGACAACCTGAATGAGTTCAGCTGGTGAGCACAAGCTGCGTGCCTTTGCAGCAAGCCACCTCAGATGCCAGAACTATGGTGCCAGCCATGAGACATCACTGTATGTGATACAGCTGGAAGCTGCCCAAAATACAAGGGCCTATCCATGTGTCAGGCAAACACAGCATTCAACGTGCTGCAAAGTGGAGGATGCACCTGCCATTCCCCATCTGACTACTGTTTGGGTCATGCCCAAGTCAGCCAAAGTGGCCTCAAGTCCAACCTCAGCACTGTGTCTGCGCAGCAGCATTAAGCACAGTAATTTCATCTTCCACCTGAGTGATATATGTGACCGTTCCTTGCTCCCAGGGAAGAACACTCCCTACAAAGACCTACACCATCACTTTAACATTGCTTTTCTTTTTAAAAAATACCTTTTTAACGAAAACTTAGTAGTGCACAGCACCCCAGAACAATAGTGGTGTCTTTGCTGCTGCTTTCTGAAGTCTGTGTTTGTGTGTTTATCAAGACATTGAGTATTTATTTCCACTGACTTACCCAGATCTGCTGAAAACTGTTGCCTTCAACCCAAGTACAAGATTACCGTAAACAGCTGTGTTGCACTGGACCTGTGTTCCCAGCTATACTCTCTGGTCATGTAGTTGACTATACTTTTTGACTTGCATATAAAGAGCTGCAGTGCCAGTCGTCATAAATAAAGTGGCAATTCTTAAAAGCAAAGCTGAACTATAGGAAGCTGGCAAGGAATTGTGTAGCAGTCTGAATAGCTAGCAAGTAAGTGCTCTGTATAGGACTGGGGAAGGGGTGGCAGAAAGGGTCACCTGTAAGAGGAACATTTTTAGATGAGATCTAAAACCCAAGCACTGAGCGCATCTGTTCTTTGTTATTAAAATATCTGTGACATTTATTTTGCAACGATACAGATGTTATCCTGTACATATGGGCCAAGTTCATTTTTGGGTAGTTACCTTTTACTGTCCTAAAATTCCCTATGTAGTTAAATTAGAATAAGTTACTTGCTCTTCTTTATGCCCATACAGAACATTGTACTGTGCTCTAGCAAGCTGCCATGTTTCATTATAGAGATGGCAGGTTTTCATAGGTGAATGATGTCTCATGCACTTCATATGTGGTGAAAACTGGAAAACCCATTTCAACAGTTTTGGACAAACAACTCAGAAGAAATGTGAATACTTAGTACCAGAAACTGAATTTCAAGATAGTTTTACGAAAAAGCTATCTGGAATTTTGCTGATCTAATAAAGCTGAATTTCAGCTTGAGGTCAGTGCATCAAGACTCATTTGTTCTAAGAACCGCAGCTTGTATTCACACCCATTCACAAACTGTCTCCTTGACCTTGCAAAACATGTGACTGTAGAACTGGCACTGGCATGGTAATGGGAGCAAAAATATTAAAACTGAACTCTAATAATCATTAACATGACTCTTTTTCTCTCTTTGAGGTCAAAAAGATGTTCTAGCTGAACCACCATCTTCTGAACTAGACATCATTGACAGAGAACCTGTAAAATGAGATGACAGTATTCTGTAAATTAGAAGATATATCCCTGCATTTGTTGTAAGAGTCACTGGCTTAGGACTAGCTTTTCCATTTCTTTTACTCTAAATATCAAGAGTTGTTACTAATGTTATATGAGCAAAATAAATTTTAAGCCTAAGTTGAAAGGGGACAGAAAAAACATACATGCCTCTACATGGTCAACAAACGTCTCTGGGTTTATCTAAAGCAAGAATGTGTATTAGTTTAAACATTTTTCTATTTTTAAAGCTGTACAATTTCCTAATGTGGACTGAACACACTGAAATTAACTAACTCATGCCTTCACAAGTACTACTGTATAGAAAGAGGAATGAGTTATATTAGTAGAAGTCATTTTTATACCAAAAAAATGCATCTCCAATAGGATTTGGATTCTCGTAATAATAATAAAAAAGTACCTCTGATATTGGAGCATCATAGTGGTATTTACAAATTGCCCAGCCAGCCCAGGCTCAAAAGATCATGAAAGGTATCAGTGTGGTGGATCTTTGGTCAAATCAATCTCACCAGTTATCTGGGGTATAAAACATCTGAAAAGAAGCACCTAATTTTGTTCCAACTACCTAAGAGCCAAAACAGGAACAGTAAATGCCACCTTATGTCTTTGGTTTGACTCCTCTGAGACTACTACAATAATCTCACCTAAAATGCTCTTCTAAACACTTGCTAGAGCACAGACTGTTCAGCATCCAAAAGCTTATCACTCATCTTTATATATATTAACCACAAAAGTAGCTATGCACAATTTAAAGGCATTCAAAACTAAACGCTTAGAAAATTAAAAGAATGTGCAAAGTACAGCAGCCCCAGTCAGCAGGGCATGGCCTTACTACCTCAGACACCACAGACTAAATTGCTCCAGTTGGGCACCCTCTTGCTACAGCGCAGCAGCACTGACTAGTGTGTTGTCACAAAATCTTCCCAAGGCATTAATTTCCGGTCATCCTGTAGCATCAAATGAAAACACAGAACCTATTACAGCCTCAGATAATGAAGATAATCAGAGGGCTGGAGCACCTCTCCTACAAAGGCTGGGAGAGTTGGGGTTGTTCAGCCTGGAGAAGAGAAGGCTCCAGGAAGACCTCAGGGCAGCCTTCCAGTAACTAAAAGGAGCCTACAAGAAATCTGGAGTGGGACTTTCATAAGGGAAGTAGTGATAGGGCAAGGGGGAATGACTTTAAACTGGAAAGGGTAGTTTTACCCTTTTTTTTACAAGTTTAGCAGATGTTAGGAAGAAATTCTTCACTATGAGGGTGGTGAGGGACTGGAACAAGTTGACCAGAGAAGTTTTGGATGCCCCATCCCAACTTTTGTCTTTTGCATGCTCACAAAATGAACAAATTACCTGTGGAGCTATATCACTGGAAAGCTCAAAATGTCCTCAACTTTTGGTACCCATAAATGTACATATGCCCTTTAATCAAACAAATACATAATGTTATTGCCTACAAGAGATGTTCACATAGAACTCATCAATAACAACATATTAAGTTTAAGTAGTTCATTCTTACCTCTTTCATTTACTGCTGCTATCAATATAATTTTTCTAAATATCTTATCTAAGAATGGATTCCATACCCAGAGATAAATATCAGATTCATACTTAAATGAAGTTGTATGTTTTTTGTAATACTGACCTCTCATATGTTCCAGAACTATTCTTCAACTCAAAGAGGAGTATTTGTTTTCCTCTATTTGGGCTGTGAGCAACATCACTGACATCAGGAAATGATAATGTGGGTTAGCACTGTGATTTTTGGATAATTACAACTTTTGTCCTTCCAAAAGAAACCATAATGGACTATCTATCTTCTTCTTAGCAATCTCAGATGCCAGAAAAGCCCTAAAAGTAGTTAGCATTGGAAAGGAACAAGAGAAAAAACAGTGATATGTTCAGTAGCCTTTCCCACCTTGGATGCTGTCTTAAATCAGACACTGAGTTCATTCTCCACTGATTTATGCTAGTGAAATATTTGGCTTATCATGTCACATAGATGCACAATCCCACACATAGTCTGCACTGTTTAAACGAGGCCCCTTCTTGAGAATTAGTACTGACAATCTCCTATCAGGTGTTCAGAAGTTTGCACCTTTTCCTCCATGCTCGACAAGTTCCTAGGTTTATTGCCTGAGAAAAAATATCCTACCCTTTGCAAACTGATGTCTACAGAAACCACATTTGCTGATACCCGTTTTTAGCATGTGCGGCTCTTTGCAGCATGACATAGATGGCCTTTCCATTAATGCTGTATTTCAGGATCTCCTGGAGGTATTCTGAACAATGGAGGAAAGATGTGTGGAATACAGTAGTGAAAGAAAGACCCACTGAAGTTCTAAGTTTATTTGAGGACCTATAGCACAAACACATGCCTAGGACCCAAAATGAATACTTTTATTTCTTTTTAAATTCTTTTTTTTTTTTTTTAATTTTCAAAATTCATTCCTCTCTGCCTCATAGTCTTTATCCACAGTGGGATATAAACCTCTACTTAAAGCTGAACACATGTAAGAGCTCTTCTGAAAAGGAATAGTTTTCTGCATTAGGGTCACAGATACTATTGTGGGAAGAGCTGCATAAATACCAGTGGAAATTCAACATTATCACTGCGTCTGAGGCCAGGACAAATGATTAAGGAACCTCTCAATAACCTTGCACTGTTTTATGATCCATCCCCTCAGCAGTTAAGCAATCAAAGAAGGTAATAGCTTTATCTTGCCAGGGAAAGCAGATTGTAGCTGCGTAACAGAGTGATGACTCTCTTAATGCCCTGGTAACACAAACATTACCAAAAAGGTTTAAGCTAAGTTCAGACTAAATCTTTCAAAATAAACCAACGTGTGTGTTCATCGTGAAGTGAGGGCACTTGGACATCAGCAAAAGAGTGCTAGCAGCATGTAAGGGCATTTTGAACCTTTATGCAAGTGTTTTGTGCTTAATGCAGCAGTAGCAGATACATTCAGTTTGAGAGAATCCATATAGAAGACAAAGACTTGACACAACCAGGAGCTGCATTCCCTCTGTTCCACTGATGCCCAAGGGCTGTTCTCAGAACTAGACTCAAACCAG